ATGCAGATTGAATGTTAAAATGAGTAAGTAAAAGATAACTCCTTGGCACAAACTGGAGAGGTGATTTCAAGGGCAAAACAGTCCTTTTGAGGTCCAGAAGTCTTTTCAAGGTCCAGAACGCAGAGCTCATGGCCCCTTGCTCCTACAGACCAAGCGAGAACTCTCTACTAACAGTTCGTCTCTATACATCAAGCCTTCAGTCGCACTTTTCTGCTGAGGCGACATACCGAGTGAGCATACAGCATGGTACATGCCTCCAGCAGTCATTACTCAGTCAAAAACTCTGTATTAGACCTGAGCTCTCCGGTATTTTCACGTTGATGAGAATATGTGACTTGTTCATGAGAATATGCAATCTACATACTGCCATAAGATAAAGCTGCAGTTGTACAACTACCAAGACCCACTTTGTCCCTTTTCCTCATCGGGAAGCGACCCCAAGGCAGGCATGGTGACCTTCCGCCGCTTGCTGGGACTGCACGTCGTACAGCCAGGCGCAATCCAGAACAGCTTCCATCGCTGCTTGGTCAACTGGTCTGTCATCTACAACCAGCCAAACCCTCTCAGTCTGGAAGCAAAGTTTGACTATGCAATGCCTCAGAAATCGCGCTGTTATTGCTGGGTAGAGCGGGCCCAACAGCAGATTTTTAACACCCCAAGAGTTGCGGCGGAGGTTGCTCGGCATATTGAACATATTGAATACTTCAAAATATGTTTTTCTGCAGTGACAGGACAAGGGGCAATGGTTTTAAACTCAAGGAGGATAGGTTTAGATTGGAAATAACAAAGAAATGTTTCACTCTGAGGGCGGTGAGGCACTGGCACAGGTTGCCCGGAGAAGCTGTGGAGGCCCCATCCCTGGAGATGTTCAAGGCCAGGCTGGATGGGGCTTTGAGCAACCTGGCCGAGTGAAACTTACCCTGAGCGCGGTGCGAGGTGCAGCCGGGAAGAAATGCACAGCCCAAAGGAGCAGGCAGTGGGCCACCCTCACATCCATCACCTCCCGTTTGCTGCTCTTCTCCTGGAAGAGAGAGATGTTAAAGAAGTTTAGACATTTCAGTTTTCACTTTTGAACACAGTCTGGTTGCTAGTGAGAGAGCAGCCAAACGCATCCCGAAGACTGTCCTTACCAGGCTTGCAAAGTGATTTTCAGACATTTATCGTGTATTAACTTTTTTACTGAGAATGATTTGTGAACCTTTTTAAAAAAAAAATAAAATAAAAAAAATATCTGTTCAACACTGGAAGTTACTGCATTAATAATTTACTGTGAACTGTGCGATGGAGAGCTTATTAAAGCAGTTCAGCCTGTGGTTGCCTTTTGAAGTGCTTTAAGACAGCCTGTCCTCCACGGGGTTCAACGCTGGTACTCTCTCTCCTGGAGCAGTTCCTGATGAGCCCTGCCAGGCCAGGCAGGAAACTCGGGCCCTTGGGGCTCCGATATCCAAATCGGAGAAAGAGGGACCAGACTGAAGTAGTGTGAAGGATTCAGGCCTCTGCCCCTCCATGAAGATTCCCGTGGTCCCTGCTAAAAGCTTCATATCCTGGGACGCAGCCTGTGACAGGCATATGTGTTGGAGGAAAATAATCCAGTAAAGGGAATGAAGGAAAAATAACGTGTTTCATCAGATGTGATTATTAGATGCCATACATGTCCAAGGCAAAAGCAAAAGATGCTGTGGATTCAAGAGAATTGAGATACGTACTAAAAAAAAAAGTGAAATCCATAAAATCAGCGAGCTAAACCCCTAAAGCAGGAAACGGATGCAAGGTGACAAAGCAGGACGATGGTTGGATTTCAGAAGATGAGCACAGGAGAAGGCTCGCCAGGTTGCCATGCTCTGATAGAAAACACAAGTTTCCCCTGATAGAGACTGTTCAGGACAGAGGATGCTGTAACAGAAGGGGTCCTGCACTGAAGGAGCAGAGGTGTCGTCTTCTATCCAAGAAACTCCAAGCTCACGTCATCTGCTGGCATCAAAGGGCCGGGCACACAGCTGGCCACCCCTTTCATCTGGGACATTTGTTCACCTTACCGTATTTTTAGATCCGCAGGTTTATTACTTAATTATGAAGAGATTGTAAAAGGAAGAGCTAGATTTATGCGCTGAATTTCTAAGTTAGCTCTAAAGGAGAACCTCATGCCAGCCTCTCAAACTCCACTGGTATTAGTAGAAGCATTTTCTGGGTTTAAAGCTAGTAACCATTAGCTCTTCTAAGGAAACAAAATGGATAAGGAGAAGCGAACCAAAAGACTCGGATGAATATTGCTGAAGAACAAGAGGTGGCGGGGAAACACCTCCAGGTTGGAGGCAAAGGATTGTATTGAATTCTTCTCCTGTTTCTGTAGTCGTTAAGTATTTATTGTATGCTCGCAGCCCTAGTCCCATTTCACAGCTGGGAATCCTTGAGCTCATGATGTTTCATCATTAAATACAAAATGAATATGAAGTAATTAATCACGGGTGTAACTCCACCTAGGGCTGTTACCCTTAGGTGAGGCAGAAATCTGGGACAGCTGCAGGTATCTAAGGCTCCCCGAGATACTGGCCCGCGTTCCCAGCGTAACACTGATCTCGCTCAGTCCCATTGCTTGACTCATCATGGAAACCACCCAGTCTCACCACCGCGAGAACGTGCCAAGGTAACTACTGTGCAGCAACAGAAACTTAGAGCAAAACAAGCAATGCAGCAGCGAGTCACTGTTGTTTTAGGGGAAAAAACATGCATATACTGACATAAGCACATGTGAAAGTATATACAGCTGTTCCTCTCCCCTCAAAACATCCATTTATGGTACTTTTGTTAAAGGACAGGCTGAGAGAGTTGGGATTGTTCAGCCTGGAGAAGAGAAGGCTCCGGGGAGACCTTATAGCAGCTTTCCAGTGTCTGAAGGGCGCCTACAAGAAAGTTGGAGAGAAACTTTTTAGAAGGGGATGTAGTGATAGGATGAGGGGGAATGGCTTTAAATTGGAAGAGAAGAGATTTAGATTAGATATCAGAAAGAAATTCTTTACTGTGAGGGTGGTAAAGCACTGGAACAGGTTGCTCAGAGAAGCTGTGGCTGCCCCATCCCTGGAGGTGTTCAAGGCCAGGCTGGATGGGGCTTTGAGCAACCTGGTCTAGTGGGAGGTGTCCCTGCCCATGGCAGAGGGGGTGGAACTCAATGGGTTTCAAGGTCCCTTCCCACCTAAACCATTCTATGATTTTATCATATCTAATCACAAATTATCTGCTGCTATGAAGAGGAACGCAGAGTGTGAATGCAGGGTTTCAGGCAGCAATGTTCTGGTCCAAACTCAGGCAATGCACTTTTGAGGGGTTTTTTTGGAGAAAGGTCCATAAAGAGCAACTGAGCTGTTAATCCAAGACACCACAGCTAGAAACTTGTCACTTTTTGAAAACCGGCCCCTGGATGAAGAACACCTTGTCCCTCCACGCACCCACCCTTGCTGGATACATTGCCATTTGAAGGGCAATGGTAGGAGCAATAGGCTATTAACTTTGCCTCCCTTTTGAAGAAGCTGTAAACACATTCCTTCTCTCTTCCAGAGGTTTCTGCTCCATCAGGGCACAGGCACGTGAGCAGCTCACGTGGAGCTGGACTTTCTCACGTGGAAGGGACTTTCTAGCAAGAGGACAATTCCATACCCTCAAGTATCTCCCACCCAACTCAGAAGATCGTCACCAGCTGCTCATCCTCCTTCTCCAGCTCAATTCATTTGCTCACAGTACCCCCAGGGAGGCAAAGCCCTCAACAGCAGGGAAAGAGTGAGGAGAGAGTGGCCAGACAGTGGTTACAGGAGACGAAAGAGCCTCTTAAAGCAGTAAAAATAAGGTAAACTGAACATGTATTTAAAAAGTAATCCATATGTTGGCTAATGTATCATAGCCTTAAACTCAAAGCCCTTACTCTACAATGTCTGTTGGTTTAAAATCAAAGTGTTTTGTAAAACCCTGCAAAACTATCCCTCCTTTCCTCTACCGCAAGCACTTTCTCGCTTTTAATTTCTGGCAGGATGCTTTTAATTTCTGGCACGCAAGTCACAGCTACCAGAGGGCTCAGCCCAAGCGGCGGCCGCTGTGGGAGCTACACCCCCAGGCTGGGGGGATGGGGGACCAAAGAGTTCTCCATCACCCGGAGTCACAACTTTCCCCTCTCCACTGCCCCAGAAGATGAACTATAGTGAAGTCTACGGGGAAAGGTATCCTGCACAAAAATTACAAGCACGTATTACACAAAATACAAATTTACACTGGGCTTGCTGTAATTAACTAAACAAATATATTTTCCCAAATGCTGCAATCTTGCATTGTGTGTATTTAACTTTTAAAAAATATATTAAAACCATTGTTTCAGAACCTAATCTGTCATTTTTAGGGCTTGAGAGGCTATCTGGCTAGCTTAAAACTCAATAAACCACCACAATGGGATCACTCGCCACTGCTACCCAGCAAGTTAAAAGGGCTGCAGCAGGAGACTTTAGAGTCCTCAACATGGTCATCCGAGAATAAAAATTAAAGCTCTTCGTTACACGGAATGGTATTAGTTGTATTCTTAAAGGGATCACACTTGGAAAATGTGAATTTAAGTAAAGCGAGTTCTGAGAGGAGGGTGAGCTTTACAGTAACTTCAACTAGAAGAAAATGTCAGATTTTCTTAAAAGTGACAACACTGTGATTAGAGCCCAATTACAAAACTACGAGCAAAAAGATCAGAGGATAATTAAGATATCTAATTATTCCCACAGATGCAAAGGCAATGTAAAACCGCGGCAGTAAGTGCAAAGTAAAGACAGCCTAAGCAGTTAGGCGCATTTTAGATTGCAAATGAACCCATTTCACAGATCACTGATAATTTCCAAGCAGTTCTGGGAAAAAAAACCCAAACAAACGTTGTTTTATGACAGTACTCACTGTTTTCAGAAGTCTGGCTGCTCCCGTAAGCAAAATTACAGGCAAAATGACAGAGAGATCCTCAAGATATCACAGGTGAGCGTCTAACCATTCCTCTGCTGCCATCGTGCCCCAGTCTCGCTCTTACGGTCTGACCCAGCGTTGCTGGGCTGCTCTGGTTCAGTTAAGAGTTTTTCCATGAAGAAATAACCCTGGGCACCAGCCTCCTCCTTTTCCTGTCTGACTGGATTAACAGTGAGGAACCTGCAGATGACAATAAAGGTATTGCACTGCAAAATGACAAAACAAGTTACAAACACACCCAGAGAACTGCTAGATTGCCACCTTTGCCAGGAGTCCACGCAGATGAATCACGCCTGCCTGGGTTGTGCCCTTCCTCCTGGTGGAGGACACATCTTCTGCTCTGCTGTACTTCACAGATCTTCTAGACTTTAAAGACCAAAAAAAAAAAAAAAAAAAAAAAAATAATCCTCAAAACCTGGTGAAGTTAATGCATTACCCTTCATAAATCAAAGATGACACCACTGACAGTATCTCACGCAGCTAAAAAGCTCAATAAGGAAGAAATAATCTCTTCTTTACGGGCTGCACCCATCGCAAGGGGTGAGAGCTGTCTGCTGAGCCTTATGCCATGTTCACTCTTGGCTCTCTTAATATTGGCTCACCTCCAATAGCCTGAGGTCCAACAGGCAGCAATTTACAGCAAGTAGTTTACCATACCAGAAGAGCAATTCCCAACACTTCCTATTCACAGGGCTGCTTTGAAAAACCTTTAATAGCTATTTTTTTATTTATTTTTTTTCCCCCCCACAGTCCTTCAACATGTTTGGCATGAACTTATAGGGTTTCCTGAAATAATGTCGATTTTTCTGCTACCGCAACTTCAGTCGGTCCTCAGCCACGAGGTCTCCAGTTTTAGCCTACAGGTAGGTATTATTTACCGTTCTGTTTGACACAGCCAGCTTTGCATCCCACATTGGTATAAAGTAGGAATTAAGCCAAGCGCAATTAGGCACAGCCAACATGACCTACCTGAGAAGGTGAAAAGGACTTGCTCTTGATACAGTACCCGGTAGTGACGAGTTAAAAGGTGGCACCTTCGCAACCTTTCAAATCAGAAGGGCCAAAGACCAGATCGTGTCAAGGTATGGACACCCCTTTTAAGAGGCTTCTTCCCCATGTCACCCAGAGCTGTGCTTCTACACCCCCGCCCCGAACCTGTGCTACGATGGTGAGACTGAACACGCCTTGATTCTCAAACACCTCCTCAACCTAAGCAATAGTCCTCTGAAGGACGCAAAGGCTGGCACACTTCACTCAGACCCAGGCACATTCACCTCCCAGAAGGAAGAGGTGTCAACCTGTGCTCCCAGGGGCTTAGAAAGATACTCAAACCATGACTTCCAGCAAGCACGGAGGGTGCTCCAGACCCCGAACCCAGCAGCAGTCTCACACGTTACAAGCTGGTCGAGGCTGTTCGCATTCTTCAAGCTGGGAGGTACATGCCCAGGCACCCACAAGGGAGGGGTTTGTCTCTTCAGCTCTTACAAAATCCAATTACCCAAGATATACGAGGAGCTGCTTCCACACTACGCCGAGAAAGCACACAGTCAGCCACCGGGAACATCTCTGACAACTTTAACAGCAGCCAAAAGTAAGGCAGCTGTGAAAACCTGTTTTCAGCATTTCCTTTGGAAACAGTTAACAACAGACTTCTGCTAATTTATGACTTTAATGAATACAAGGTATTTACTTAAAAGTTCAACAGATGCTTTGCTAAACAACTCCAAATCCAATCTTGCAATACATTACAGGTTTGCATCAGAAATTTCATTCCCCTGAAGCCAACATTAATGAAAAAATGTTATTTTCATGGTGATTGTTTAAATAAATTTAAGAAAAGAAATAAAATAAGTAGACCTCTCATTTATTTTTATTTTGAAACCTGTACCTCATATGCAAGCAAAAGCTTCTTAGAGAATGTTATGAATAAACGCCTTGCAGTTCAAAAATGCCCTTCTGTTGTTCTGTTCTGCATTTGCTTTTCCGCTCATCCATAACTTTTTTAAACATGCCATACTCTCAGTCTTCAGTTCTTCACTATTATATTTAAGAAGTCACTCAAATACGCATTTATCCATGTACTGAGTGGCAATAGGGACTTTAAAAAAAAAAAAAATGCTCTGAAGATGCACAGTGAGGTCAGTTCAATATGGACCAACAGGAAAAAAAATAAAAGAGGGAATAAAGAGACACTGAGAAGTTAAGATTCCCAGTTACACTTGCAAAGAAAACCAGTAAGCTTTCCAAGTGTTTGTATCCTAAGCCATCCTGACAGTCAGGAACAAGAGCATCCCAGTGAGTAATTTAAAACCTGAAAGCCTCTAAAGGGGGACTATATAAATAATAATACGCTTTGTTCCCACCCCCTTGAACTCCTCCTGCAAAGAAATTAATGGCATACAAAACATTCCTGAACAGAACTAAGCAGAGACATTTCAAAAGGTTTTTAAACTCATTTTATTTGCTGAGTTTGGATAGCATGCATCATTTTACAGCACCGGTAAACAAGTCAGTGAAGCATACTGCTTTTGGGAACTTGTACTGTGGAATGTCTTCAAAACCATTACCCTCTCCCCCTCCACGCTCGTACGTTAACACTAGCTGAAGACAAGACAGACATACATCAGGGCAACTTCCTCATGGCTAAAAATACTCATAGCAGCGACTTTTAAAGAAGGGTTTTATTAAATCAAGTCATTGCACTTGGGTCATTTATTGCTATAGCGAACAAAGGCCATTAAATAACAAACACCTTTCATTTGTGGTTTTAACTGATTGTCATCTTCCGTTCGTCTGCTAGAAGCTTACACGCAGACACAATCTCTGTAGAGCAATCCATTCCAAGATTTGTTTCGTGCTCTACTCACAGTGGAGAGCTTGTATAACAAAATTGGCTATTCCGTTAGGCTCTATTCTTGCTTTTCATCACCTGACTTAGAGGCTATGAATTCCACGCAGTTTAGTGTCTGATGAGCAGCGTTACCGCTGCACATTACTCCTCAACACAAAGATCTGGCTCAAGTCTTCATTTGTGATGCATCCAAGCAATTAAAAGTTAAAAGCATTAACATTGAATCAGCTTATTAGCAACGTGACTAGCAAATATTACCTAATACTTGCATAGTATATTAATCAAATTTTATGAAAAAATTATATCAGCAACTGACAAACATTCTCCAATTGACTTTTTGATGTACTTTACGATGCATCAACTGTGGAAAAAGTATACTCTCAAGAAGCAACACTTCCATGTCCCTTGCTCAAGTGACATACTACATAATTACTAGATTTATGACTATTCCCATGAATAAAAACTTAATTCCTTCTCTTATTGGTGAAGCTGCCAAACTACGTGGCATGTTTTTGCCATTTAAATTCTAGTAGACCAAAAGGAGATGATGTGATTACTAACAGAAGTAATGCATTTGACCGGCTGTATAAAGCTGTCTGGTTTTCAATTCTTTAATTAAATGAACACAGCAATAAATATCAGTGTCTCTCATCACTTTGCATATTAGTTCTGGTGCACTGTGTTGAGCTCAGGGGTTAAAGATAATGGCAATCCACAAGATTTCAACTGTTTTCCATAAAATGAGAAAGATGCCATCTTGGAAGCCAGCTCAATGCTGTCAAAGCAACTGTTCCAATCACTGATTGAAATACAAAGACGTTATTAAATTTAGAGGTACACAATATACTGATTAAGTTTATGGCATAAATATATAAATATGGAGACCTTTTGAGAGTATCAAAGTTCCAAAGGGATTTATTTGGAGACATATTATAAACAAACCTGGCTATCGTAAAAACAGATCAAGATGCATATTTAACCACTAGAAAGACTGATGACTTCAGTTTAGACACAGAGATGCACAGGCATTGAGACCTAAGGTTTACTTTTTCACGCTCTAATATTTTAGGCACAACAGGTTGAGTTAAGACTGGATTCTGGTGTTGTTTCCGTGTTTCTTGCATTTTGTGGTTTTAAAAGTTAATTTTGTCATAATGTCATGATTCGGTCCTAAATCCCTTTTTAATCCAATAGTGCAAGTGACAAAGTGTTCTGCTCAATCACCCAGATGAGATCATTCGTTCTTACTACAATGCATAGGAGTTTCACCTGCTTCATTGCATTAACAAATTCCTATCTCATTACATAACTTACAAACAGCATATTATTAATATTCTCGCCGCAGACAGGCACAACAGCATAACGCTGGGTAAGACTGCCAAAATGATACAAATATATATTCCCTTTTGCATGTAGGGGAAAAGTAGTGACTAGAATTACGATAGTTATTTCACCCTTCCCAATAGACTATTTTACAGATTAGTTGTAAAGATAGATCACCCTTTTATAGTATAGATCTCTTTAAAAATTAAGCTACAGGTATTCAATAAAAATCTATTAAGAATTCCCTCTCCTTTCTATACAGATTCAGTAGTATTTTCAAGCAAACCAAAAAATAAGGTCTGCAATTCCAGCACAGTAAGAAATAAGGCCTCTTTTATATTGGCAAAAAAATTACACCGTTATTCTTTTCTGTTTTCTTATCTCTCTGAATAAAAGACTATATTCCTTTTTTTACTATATTTTTTTTTCTTTAAGACTGTAGAACACCAGCATCATTATGAAATAAGAGTCAGTTCTCCTTGTGTTCAGCTTTGAATTCCTGACGAGTTAAAAACATTGAGTCCATAGCTGTCTCATGTAGACATCACTGCTTTCTTCAATTTTTCTATTTCAAGCTGGAAAAACAGACATTTTGAAAAGAAAGAGAGTCAGTAGCAAAGTAGTAATAATCTAAAAACTCTTCAGAGCTTTCACCGAAATTCAGACACATGTAAAGAAAATCGTAACACAGAAGCATTTGACAGCTCAATATTTACATCTGATTTTATACTACTACATTGCTAAGCAAACAAGAATTTAAAATCATTAAAAATTTCCCTATAGTTCTGGTACATCTTATTGGATAAACTGACTCTGAATAAAGCAGTCAAAGCTGGGTCGTGGAATCTTGACAGTCCCCAAGAAATGTTGCATCATCACCTCAGACTAACTTCCTACAGCAACCTTCATGCAAAATACCCTGCCGTGATTAATTTGTATTTTTTCAAGTGGATTTAGGGGATACATGGAAGTTACCTCCTCTTCATGCCCAGTGCATATTTAAGGCAGCTTCATTGATTGCTTTACAGACACATTAAAAAGCAGACTCACCAGAAGGTCTTCTCAAGTTTCGAAAGTAGCTTTGTAGTCAAAAAGAATTACTATTTCACAAATAAAATGCCCTTTTGTACCAGACTGATACAATTTTCTACAATGAGCTCATCCTATTAACTACTTAACGGCATCACATTGTAATGCAGGCGGCCGTCTTCATCAATAAACTGAGAGGAGTGGCATTCATTCATAAGGAAATTTTTCAGATGCATTCTGTTCTTTTGGCAAATTACCCACTTAATACTTAAAGACTTCATCGAGAATTTAGGAAAGTATACTTTTGCCCTGCTTTTCTCCTGGCTACATAAAGTAAATTTGTCCTTGCAAATCTTACAAAAGCAAAGTATTACTAAACTAAACTCACATCCCAACACCCATACGTAGTATTAAAAATAATTTTCCAGATAAAGAAAGCTGAACTAAGATTAACTGTCAGTCTTCTATATATATCCAACTGCCTCATAAGCCACTCATTCAACCACACACTAACACGGCAATACAAAAAAGGTTGAGCAGGGTCGTGAAGACTTTCCCATGGCATCCAATTCCAGCCCCCCCCCACCCCCTCCAAAATTGCCAACATTACCTCCAGATTACTTCGCAACAGCTTCTCTTCTTCCAAATCCTTCTTTAGTTTTTCCAGTTCTCTCCTAATAGTAGTTAAGATATCAGAAATACAAGTCAGAGGGGGGGGAAAAAAGTTCACATTACCAAGAACAGGAAGCACAGGCCTTGTTTAAATTGTACTAGAGGAATTCACATAACTGTCTGATGCTACATCTTATAAATAAAACTTACATATAAGTACATGCCCACTAGTGAACTGGTACTCATATCTGCTATACCACAAGCTTCCACCAACTCTCAACACATCTCACCTATCGCTATGCACCTACCCTTAATTTATAATCAAAATTTTAGGTAGGCTACTTAAAATTTTTTATTGTTATTTCAAGTGGGGAGTTGAATTTAAGCTACAACAACAAGGCAACTTCTACACAGAGAACAGAAAATCTTTAGAAAGTTCCTAAAACATGTTTTGTTTCATAACTAAGCTGAGGAAAGAAAGTGCTAAGAATTATCATCTAGTCACAGAAGAACTAGTTCATTAATCTCCAGAAATCCTAATTTACTAGTCTGCTTTGGAGACCAATTGATCCTGATGCTTTATAACCTCTCAAGAGGTCACTCTAAAAGCCGGTTTGGTTAGCACTAGTGATCATTTAAATAGTACCAAAATGAACTAAACTAAAACCAGAAATAATGTAAATTTCATGCAGATTGGTCTTTACTATGTTTACTCAAACACCAGTTACATTTTCCTTCTTTATCATTCTCCAAACACACCTCTACCCACATGCACACAGATGAAGCCACCAGAATCACCAATTTGAAAAGCTCAGTAATATCTTTCCCTTTTTCACGTCAATACTGCAACTCCTTCTGTGCGGTGTTACACATGGCCAGCACATGTGTGAAATATCACAAGAATCATCTACTTTTCCTTACAGTTAAAGTAGTAACAAATATTTTCAAAGAGCTGCAATGAATGCAGGAGCGCAAAGTAGGAAGGAAAAAATGTGTACAAATTCCAAAAATACTCTGACATGAAATTTGTACATATTTAGGACATCGAGTAGGATCAAATTCTAAAGAACAAAGTTCTGAATTAATATTAATATACTAATATAGAATAGCTTTTTATTTTTAAGAAGTTTAGCATTAAAGACATTTGGCAGATGTCTATATATCCCTTTGTGGATTGAGAAGGAAAATATTTACCCATGTTCTTTCTTCAGTGCATCTACTAAACCCATCAAATCATTAATCTGAGTCCTGAGCTCTTCCACAGAAATTTTTTCATCATCCGACTCTCCTTTAAGTTGGATGTCTCCAGGAAACAAGTTGAGTAGAACAGAACTTGGTCTCTGAGATGAAGATGGAATTGGTGAAGTGAATGCAGATGGCTGAAGAAAAAATAAATACAATCAGCAGAAAGCTAAGAAATGAAATCTTTATGAACTGACCCCTTACAGCATACAGGCTGTACTGGTATGGGAGCTACATGTGCACAAATCTCCTTAATTTTCTACCCAAAAGGTAAAAAACAACGTCCAATTCAAATGAACTACTATAGTATACGAGATAGTTATTTTATACAGCATTTTATTAAGCATTTCCCTGAGGTCCCTGTAGTACTAAAAGAAGCACTCACACTGCAGTTCTCTACACTTTAAAACCCCCCTGTGATTTAATGGAGCCCATGGGTTCATTATAAACAATCTTTTGTGCACCTTTCTGATCTGCTCAGTTGTTCCGTCTGTCGGGAGACTAAAGGCTGAGCAGACACAAAGCTTATTTGGGAAATACCACCATAGTTTCATTCTACTTGATACTATAGTTCTGATCAGAATTGATGGACTTTATACTAAAGTTCATTTGAACTTTATACTAAAATTTCTACCATGAACATTATACAAAATGAAATGGATCACTTGCTTTGAAACACACTCACTAGCATTTAGATGGTTGCATCAATCTAAACTGGAAATATGAGCAAGATGAACAGAATACCTAGTTGCCTGGTACTTCTCTAGCTCCTTGGTATCATACCTTTTTTGTTTCAACTGGCTTTGGTTTGGCACTTTCTTCTTCTTTCTGCACCTTCAAATTTTTTTCTGGACTCAGACTTTGACTTGCCTGGTAAACCATTCATAAAATGAAAAGGTTTTCAGAATTAAAAAAAAAATAAAAATAAAGAACTGTCACATGTTTCTAAAGATGCAAAAGAAAAAACAAAACAAACCCAAACTTGGATTACTAGACTGCCATAGTTTTGTTTCCCTGCCAGTCAGAACTTTCCTTCCCTGCAATACTCATTCACCTGAATTTAAACCAAACATAGGAATCTTGGGCAGGATTTTCAAGCATCTCTGCATTACTTAACAAGTCCTTGATACTTTTGAAAGCCTGTAGGTGCTTCCGTAGAAGACAAACATTAACAGGCAATAACTGTAGATGGTAACTGGCATGACTGAACTATGCAACATCCCACGATATAAATCAATTTCAATGACTGCACCGCCTGGTGCTCATGGTCTGACAACCTCACATCTTGGCACATGAGATCAAAAGTCTCGCATTACAGAAACATTAAATTACGGATTTGTTGTGGCCAAAGACTATACATTGTTAGGCTTGTAAGGCGCTAAAGACACTTTCAGAGTTGTGTGTAGGCACAGCATCCATTTCATCATCGGTGATCCTGAAAGAGCTGAGTATTTACTGCAGTAATACCCCACAGAACAGAAAGACTCCTTCAGCTGCAACGCAGTTGCGTTGTTTCTCCTAACGTACACTTCCCTCCTGGGAATGGATGTTCCCGTAGACCAAGTCGTTAGGAACTGAACCTCTGCGCCATTTTGCATTTCACTCCCAGATAAACAGTCCATAAGACTATTTCTAAGTGCAATCCTGTTTCCTGGGAAGTTAGTTCTTAGTTCACTAGGAGGAAAACACACCCAAAATACTCACAGGATTACTGTTATTGAAACGTGAAGGCGGCCTCCTACCAGGCATCTTGGGTCGGTTTGCAGTAGGGTGCGATAGATTATCTGAGGTAGCTATTACATCATCAAAGCTTAACAGATCTAGAAAAAGATGAAAATAGACCGCCATCAAGACCAGAAAGTTTTGCCGCATTCTTTTTTTATCACTTTTTTTCCTTACGACAAAAAAAAATAATCATTGGAACCCTTATTGTTTCAAAGATTTTCAGCATACACAACACATGAGCCATATGAAACAACTACATGACTCTGATATCTCTGGGAAATCACATTTTCCCCCTTGAAAAAAATTAGAGGTTAATTCAGCTAGCATTTAAATTCAAGTTCTCAACAGAAGTGCTGTAGTAACATGGCAGCATAAAACAGAGCTGATAAGTGTCTGCAGAAAAACCTATTTATGACCGTTTTTTTGAGAGGTGCCACATTCAACTATTTAAGAGAGGATATTATCTTGTCACTGAACTTGCATGAAAAGCATGAAAATCCAAGTTTAGTAACTAAGACAAAAATAAAGGCAATATGGTAAAGTACACATCCACACTTTAGTGAAAGTAAGTTAACAAGACATTAACTGCAAATATTTCTGAGCAGGGCAGGTTTTTTTCGTATGCAGTACTTTGTCTAAAGAAAATACACAACTTCACTAAGTCTGTAATAAAACATTTCAAAACTCCATTCTCGTATTTTATTAAATCATAGATCTCTCTGCTTATTATGCTCACAGGTCTAGAGAAACTCTCTCTTAAATCAGCAGACATTCTTTATGTCCTCTAGGAAGAGGCAACCTTAGGAAAAAAACTATTAATGGGAAGAACAGAATATATCTAATCTAATAACATAAGTACTTCCACCTAGTTAACAACTGGACTTCTTTACCATTTCTGCACTAAAAATCATACTACTTACCTGTCAACAGATGTGTAATGAGATCGGTTTTTTGTTTAAGCACCGACGTAAGATTATAGATATTATATATCATTTTACAAGACAAATTCGTTAGACTTATTCTAGAGACTCTAAATGTTTAATTAAAATGTCACACAGCATTTGCTATGGGCACCAAAAGTTACTTTCAAGGTTTTGGGTTTTGGTTTTGGGTTTTATTTGGTGACCTCTGATTTTTACACGACATTATGATTTATCAAAACAGAAGCTATGATACTTCTTCCCATATTTTCTCTTTCATTTTGAAGCTATAGCAAGAGGTCAGATAAGAAAAAAAAAAGCCCTAAGAACACTGAGCCAGACTATTCATACCACTTCAGTGCTTGCATGACTTAAAATCATCTGATTAATCCAAGTTTTACTCACGCATTGTCAAAGCTAATTTACACCTGTAGGCACTAAGTCTTCTATTGAATGTTTTAACTGATTTTAATGTCTTCCACTCTGCATTACTATCCTTGAAGTCCTTGAAATAGTCGCATCTTTTGGCCATCCCTGAATGTATCTACTTCATCATCTGTTGACTTGCTGAAATGCAAGTATTTATAACACTAACTGTTACCAATCAGTTTTGCTGCTTTTTAATTTTATTAAAGAGAATGTAAGGACAATCTTTTGTAAACATGTAATCATATTTGCAATTAAAAAAAGAGGGGAAGAAAAACAAAGAAGAAAGAAACAGAAGAGTGATGAATGGCAGGTGGCTGATGGAAAAGAGGATGAGGGAGAAATAACTAACTACTAAGGTATTTCTGTGGTAGTTTGTTCAATAAAGTATTTAACTTATTAGAAGTCAAGCAACAGTGACTAACAGGTATATCTTCATGTTCTTTACTCAATTGTCAGCAATCCCAGAGCACTAACCCATGCCAAAATGTAAATAATGATTTATGTTAGTTAGGTATTATTAAAAAGCCGTCAAGAAGGCAGGAACAGAATATATATGCCTTTCCCCCCAATCTCAGTCATTTTTGCCTTTAAGTGTTCCTCCTTTCGTCATTCAGCAGAAATGATAAATCATTTGGCAGTAAATTTAAGTAAGAATTGTAAATTGAGTTGCTATTATGGTTGTAATGCCAGCCCTGTCTCCACGAACAAAGTAAACATCAGGCACATTAAGAACACTTTAAGAATAATGTGTACTTCCGAAAAAAAAACCCACAGTATTTGACAATGCTTGAAGATGAAGACTGCTACAGTCTTGAATTGTATATGATTTAAATACAGATGGTGGGATGACAGTAAAGCCAGGATTTCTTTTCCCTATTTGTAAGAGCTTCTAAAGGAAATTGCTACACTTGAGACAACTGCTCAGCATTAAAACATTATCAGTACGTTACAGTCAGAGAGAATTCTGACTGAACTTGAATTTTCCTTTTTACCTTCCACTTTGTCGCTTTGGTATGGGGAAGAAATTAAAACACAGGCTGGCCGAGATTAAGGTTTGTGGTTTTGGTGGTGGTGGTTTTGTTTGTTTGTTTTGTTGTGGGTTTAAGGTTTTTGCTTGTTTATTTTTCTTCTTAAATGGCATTCTTATTTATTTTAGGAGAAAGCTTGGCCTCATTGAAACCAATAGAGATTCTGATGAAACCCACTGAAAGTTCACTATTTACACCCATTTCAATCAATAAAGCGATTTATCAATTCATTTTCTTACACACAGCCTGCGAGTAATTGCTGAAGGAAATCCCATCATAGTGCCAAAAGAGCAATTCAGTACATCTGGGGATAATTTGAGTCAAAAAATGATTTTAAGGCTGAGCGAGAGCACCTTTCTTTCTAGGAAGATGAACTAAGCTTAAACAGTTACTTAGGACAGACTGTTAGAAATGTCTCTTCTGCAAGCTTAACATGGATCCATAACAGAACTGTTAGGAGCTTTAACAGACAGAATTAGGTGAGAGGTTTTGTTAAGATTTGTGAACGCTTCAAGTGCATTCACAGCACTTTGTTTTAAAAGGCCTTCACAAAAAGAAGCAAAGCTGAAGGGGTGTCTAAAGAAATTATGGTTCCAGCATCTCCCGCGGCTGGGGCTTAAAAACCCACGATAGAAGTGAAATGTATCCAATATATCAGAAGATGAGACCTCTCATTAATCTGCAGAGTAAGAGAAAATGGCAGCACTTTTTCCTGTTATTCATCTTGCTGAGATTGCACCCCAAAAATTTAGGGGACAGATATAAGCTTTAGAATGTTTAAATTTGCAGTTGTGCCATAGTAAGGTATTTTCTATTAAGCATATACCTACTACGTGACTCACAAATTTTAAAAGACTCACAATACTGAATACGCAACTATGAAGTCTTTGGCTGATTTGCGCTACAGAAAAATAAAGCCATTCAACCTAAATACACCAGATGTCCTATAGATATCGAACACATATCACTAGAAATACTACGTTTGGCTTATCAATAGCTGGACTGTAGTTTTTCTTGTAGAGGTAAAAAAAACAAAAACAAAAACAAAAAACAACCAAAAAACCAAGTTCCTAACTGAAAAGTATATTTAAAGTAACTTCTTGTTTAACAGCTAAGGAAAACAGGCATTCAAAGAAACAAAAAAGCATTTTAAATTGAAACCCAAAAATTTTAGTATCAATAACTGCAACTGAAAATTACGCTTATGACGTTAAGAAGAGGCTATGCGTATGGCATAAAGCATTTGGATGTCCTTATAGATTGTTATCTTACCAAAATGGAGAAGGGTAGGGTAATTTCCTGACACGTAAGAAGGGAAACATGGCAAACAGGATAGGAAACAAAATCTGGAAAGAAAAGTCAAGGAGAGGAATGTCTAGAAAAAGATTCTGAACAAAAAAATTATTTTACAAAGCAGGAAAAAGAAACATTTGTAGAAGAAACAGAATTGCTTTACATGTTCAGCATGCTAGTATTACAGCTTTAGTCTTTTACAGTACTTTAATTCTAACCAAACAGAGAAACATTTACGCAATTTTTCAAATAAAGCTTTAAGAGGAGGTATTTCAACAGGATCAATGTTTCTGAATCCTTTTGAGTATCTGTCCTCATCTGATGGCTGGGGACCTAACTTTGGTCTGGGGTGGGTTGTTTTTTCCTAGAGGTACAGAATATTTAAAGCTTTTCCTTAGGCTAAACTCAAAATCGCTGAACCTACACCACACTTCATGGTCAAATGAAGTTGCAAAAAGATAAACCTGTACTTAAAGAAATTGGTTTTCTAAAAATTCATTCACTTAACGATCTTAATCCAAAAGGAAAAAAAAGAGACCCTGGTAACGGAGTTGCCAACCCTTGCAATACATTTTTGCCCATGTTTTAGTATCTAATGTAGGATTGTTTGATCTTACAAGAACTAAACTTTATATAAGGACCCAACAGCTTTGGAGCTTTATATAGCATTACCCACTGCATGGAGTATTGTGTCTTTAGCAGCAGAACACATATAGGGACATAAAGCATGAGATTCATTACATTTTACTGGCAGGAGTTTGGAATAGTCCCCTTTCACAAAAGCAGTAAAACTACCAGTGACTTACACAGATAGTTTTAAACAGGGGCAATTTCAGACAACGGAGAACTTTTGAAACTTTCCTCAAAGAGCAGCTCCTTGACCCTGTCAGTGCTGCCTCCCCGCGTCGACTGTCTGAGCCCCTTCGCTTGCGCTGCACCAAACACGGACCACTGAACAGACCTCACCCTCTTGCTTGTTCTCCACTCCCGCCCCCTGCCCGACGTAGGTATTAAAAACTCAAATTTCTCTATGAGTCTGTAAAATCTTAGGTCAGAAAATAGGAATTTGTAGATATTTCTTTTAAAAATCTGTATTAAATTAGTTTTTTTACATATATATATAAGAATACCTAATATCACAGCTACTATGTTGGCACTCTGGTTATTAAAGATATCAAGATAACTGCACCTAAAGAAGTTCCATCTGTTTTCAAGGGGATCTTTTTCCTGGGGATAAATGATAATAGTATACAGTATCCCATCTAGCACAACCTTAGGGAAAAACACCTGAGCAGTAGCACAGGGCTTACATTTTTAAGGCTAGGTTTTGCATCACTCTCTCATCTCTCAGCTTACTGTGACCCGAAAGTGTTTCTTCTGTACCCTCACTCAAAATCCATTTTTAAATAGAGGCAATAATTAAACTGCCAATTCAAAATCTTTAAAACAAGGCATATGACAGCGTATACGTAGATTTTGCCAGGGAATAAAAAAAAAAAAAAAAAAAAAAAGAACTTATAAATACTTTAGGGTATTTACAAGTAACACTGATAGTATTTGTAATATTCCCAGGCTATTTTAATACCTAGTGAAGTCCAACTTTTTGTGGTTCAGAAAAACACAACTTCTGTATTAAAAATCATGAACAATCTTTCTTTCTACAAAGCATTTAAGCTTAAAAGCACATTTTAAAATGCTTAATGGAAAAAAAAAAAATCAGGAGTACTCCTTTTGATTCATAAACTGCTTCAGTTTTTAATGGGTTATTTTTTATCTTGCAGATAAATTTATAGCACTTTAGGACCTACAACCTGAATATCATAATTGGCCTCAAAGAAAAAATCAAGTTGTACTACAATTTAAAAATGTATTATTACTAAAATCTTTTCTGAGATGAAAGGTTGCATTTGAGATAATGCAAGCCAAACACTGCAAGTACAACTCGCTAAAGCTTTCTCTGCAGTGGTTAGTCATACAATTAAAAAAAGTATTTAGAGTATTTATTTAAGTGTATTAAAGTGTATTTATTTAAGTATATTAAAGAGTATTTAAAAAAATATGCACACAGCAGATGACATCTGTCTAAGAGGCACACAGAGGACTGAAATCAATTGCACTACGAAGTAAAGGACAAAATTTAACTCTATAATAGCTCAGAGAGCCTGATCATCAGTGTGGGTACTTTAACTAGCATCAAGGTTTTTGCTGTACAAATTCAGATTTAAAGAGCTTCCAGGTTTGGCTCAAGGTGCATTAAGCAAAGCCAGAAGCATGAAATTGAGATGTACAATGCTCCATGCTGCCCCAAATTTAAGGCATGATAAAGTCATAATCTAGAATAGCTATGAACTTAATTACAGAACGCTGAAGGTAATGGCATTACTAAAAATACACAAGTTAGCTAGAAAAGCAAAAGTTATCTGAAACGCAAGAGCAGAACAAACAGAACCAGTCAGTAAGCAAAACAATTTCATAAAAATGCAAGATAAAAGTGGCAGCAAAAAAAACATGCTTTCAAATCAGAAGAGCAAACCTTTACCTACATTTCTCCCTTCCTCTTGTCTATTACAAGACTGAGCTCATCAACTACCTCCAAACAGCCTACTGACATCTGTTCATCGCTTGCTGACTCTTACCTTCAGCTACCTTCAGCAGTTCTAAAAAAAAAAATAAAAAATAAGACTTTCTGCTGAACAGGCATAATTGCACTTTGTGGCATTTTGAGTAAGTTACTTAAAAAGCTTATTCTAACTTATTCTAAAGCTTATTCTGAGCTTATTCTTGTAAAACACTGCAAACCAAACAGAAAGACACAGAAGAATGCTTTATTCTTGTCTTACCTGAATCTTTAGAGCTCTTTACCACAAGTGAATCTACCTCTACTGATTTTGGTCTAAGTGGTAACAGTTCAGAGTCTAACTTTGGTTTTGCTACTGGCTCAACTTCAGATTTCGGTCGAAGAGAAACAACTTCTCCATTAGATCTGTAGTAAGAAAAAAATGACAAGACATACCCAGTCAAGATATTAAGTAGTTTACCACTGAAACATACCAAGATTAGAAGCAAATGGAAAAAATACAGTAGATTTTATAATTTTCAAAAGCCTTGCTTAAAATCAAGTCTTTCAGAGAGCAATTCTAGTCCTATAAAAGCCAATTCTTCTGTTCCAGCTCTTTCAGAATTATCAAAATTGTACAATCACCTTGTAAAAATAATCCGAAACCTTTACTACAAGGCACACTTTGGCACTTAAATCTAAAATATTACACTCCAGTGCAAAAGAAGGCAAGAGAGCTGAATAGCACCTTCAGTAATATCTCTTGAAATATTCACAAACATACTCAGACTCCTTGGCATCAAAATCTTCCTGTAAAGAAAAAAGTTGCCAAGAACAAGTTACTTCTTTCTGGGTATAGAATAATAGTACCTTGTATATATGGCTTCTACTCTACCACACATTCTTTGCATGGCTGGTCACATCATTCAGGGACAAAAAAAAAAAACAACCTGCCACCAAAACAACCAACCAACCAAAAAAAAAATCCCCAGAAAACAGATGACCAGAGGACATTTTCCTTTACAATTCTTGCCATAGTTTATGCCACTGCGTAAAAACAAATTTTACAAATGGATCAGCTGTCAACTTCAATGTGTCCCTGCCACTCATCTCCCAAATACTTTATTTGGAAATTTTACTGCTGTAGAAAAAGAGATAGCAGCCCTATCTTCCTCGAGCAATGTTAAACTTTCAGACATTAAAATATATTTAAGAAACCCTAAGATTTAAATTTTTCAAATATTAAAGGACCACAGTTTACTATAGACTTCTATTTAACTGCACTTGTGTATCCCGTTATATTCATAATTATTTCCTAAGATAGGGAAGAGGAACATAACTTGTGATTTAAAAAAAAATAAAATAAAAAATCTTTACTTGGGAAACTGTCCAAAATACCGTGTGATATAATTCAATGATATACTGAAAACCTAAATAGAAGTACCGTAGCAATGGTCTAACTCTTCAGTCAGGCATCTAGTGTTCCCAGTGCTGCGCAGGGTGGCACCAGAGGCAGCTCTGCCTAGACTGTCCTCTGTTGGAGTCAACCCTCCAAAGTGTGTGCCTTACCCACACTCCCTCTGCCCACTGCCCTCCTCCTCACTGTTTTCTCCCTTTAGATATTCTTCCTCTTGGTTCAGCTATAGAAGACCTGCTGTAAAAGAAAAGATAAACCTCAACAAATGACTGCTGCCACCCTCTATCTTTGCAGGTATTTAAGGTGCAATCTCTTTGATCATAGAATCATAGAATGGTTTAGGCTGGAAAGGACCTTGAAGATCATCGAGTTCCAACCCCCCTGCCATGGGCAGGGACACCTCCCACCAGCCCAGGTTGCCCAAGGCCACGTCCAGCCTGGCCTTGAACATCTCCAGGGATGGGGCAGCCACAGCTTCTCTGGGCAACCTCTGTTCCAGTGCCTCACCACCCTCAGAGTGAAAAATTTCTTCCTAATGTTTAATCTAAACCTGCCCTCTTCCAGTTTATAGCCATTCCCCCTCATCTTATCACTCCGTGCCCTAGTAAAAAGTCCTTCCTCAGCTCTCCTATAGGCCCCTTTAGGGACTGGAAGGCCGCAATAATATCTCCCGAGAGCTGCTGTCTGCTCCTTTATTTGTGCAACGTCACGTTCATCAGGACCTTACCTTCTCACAGTTCTTTCAAGTCAACTAAACATCCCGAAGAGACAGTTATCCAACAGCAGTTTATTTACAGCTTTGGGTAGATAAGGATCTAACAAATACTTTGACGGAGACAGAAGGGGAAACTGTGTGTGGGATTCTATCAATGCAAAACTAATCTTAGTGAAACACCGTATATAATTGTCTCAAACTCATCAGAAAAAAAAAAAAATAGAAGTGGATCTAAATGAAAGAATGAGTGACTACTTGCTATAAGCCTCTCTATTTGTCCAGTAATTCCACTGAGAACACTCAAGACACAGCATAGAGACTGGATGCGGTCCTGTAATAAGTGCTTTCTTCCCCACAGGAGCACATGAACTACACTGAGTACCTGTAGCACAGGTACCAACTGTGCTCAACTCTGCTTTTCCATCTCTTACTCTATATAAAGTGCTGAAACATTGAATACTGATGCAGCTCAAATTTTCTGGGTTTTTTTTCCAACCCAATATTAATTCTCAAGTGCCACATCCACAGATTCTTTTACACCACATTGCTACTGTAGCTACAACTTCTTCACTATGGGTTAAAGCAAAGCAGCCCACAGATTTGTAACTTCATCTGCCCCCTGGTTAGTTATGCTGTAATATTTACTCTGAGATGGAGTTAATCTCTTAAAGAATTAGAAAGTTCTAAGTTCACATTGATAAAAACTTGGAGAACCAAGACACTGGTAGATGTACTTATCCTTGCATCCTTTTCACCCTTAAAACACACATTTCTTCCCTAAGGAAGAAGGGAAGGGACATAGAACAACAAACCAAATAAAATACATTTGGTGTATATGATTTAAGTTATACTGACTTGGATACAGACGATGGCAAAACAGGTTTATCTGGACGTTTTGGGTGCAGAAGCCCTGCTCTCAGGAAGCTGTTAGTCTTGCTTGGAGGAATAGGCTTTTTGGGTGGTACTTGAGGAGCCTGTGGCTTCAAAGGCTTCTGATCCAAAGCTCCTTTTTCATCTGACAAAATAAGTCACCATAACATTTTAAAAACCTGCGTTGTCTAGAACTGTTGCAACGTTAATCAATTAGAAAGCAACTGCTGTCAGAAATACTTTCTTTGAAGATCAGATAAAAGTGAGAAAAAGATATGACAGTGTCTTAAGTGATACCTTACCAAAACACACAAACTTCTTACCTGAATTTAAAAAAACTTTACGTTAAAATAAGCAAAAAGTCTTTCTACTGACATGAAACAGTAGCAAGAAATTATCAATCCACATTACTGCACTACAAATGATAGCTAAGAATTAAGAATCTCTCTGTACTGCTGCCTTCCCTTTTCTATGAATTTATTTTATCTCCACTTAAAAAGGCAGGGTTTGTTTTTTTATTTTGTTGTAACTAGACTTCTTCGATGTACACAAACAGCATAATTTATCTATGGAAAAAGGGGGGGGGGGAGAAATTAATATCTGAATAACTTAATTTATTTTAGATAAGTCTATCCTCATACAAATTCAAGATACAAATTAAGCATGGATAATCAAACAAAAAAAAAAGTTAAAATAGTTGTTCAGTGACTCTAAGACATAACTGAATAGTGTCCAGAGGAGTTGACATTTAACATATGGGTCACTGAAAAATTCAAACTGCTTCACAAATGTTAGTTGAATAGTCTTCAACCTACGTTCCCTAATCCCACCCTGTGGGACATCCAGAGTGTACTTTCTACTTTTCCTTGTAAAACTATGCTACAGCTCAGTCAGGCACGTGATCTGTAAGATTATTGTTAGGTTACAGTAAGGAGTTACAGTCCTTTACAGTTGCTCCCCCTACAGGACAGTAAATCAGTAAACTGGGATGGAGAGACTGACCTTCAGCTTTGATTCTCCCCATCCTCCCCTCCTCTGACTTTGCTTTTAATCAAGTATTGGTCTAATGTAAAATGTTTACACACGCTATGGATTTGGGGGTAGGGTTGGAAATTTACTTCAGCTCCATCCCAGCTGAGTGCCTGAACTGCCGGGTCTATGACTGACTTCCTTTGGACAAGCCCTGCAGCCGCCGCGTGTCAGCCCTCCAACCATAAAATGGGAAAACACCAATTTTCTTTCACAGGAATACTTGGAAGTAAACAGATCGTTAGAGATACTTCTGAAAAAAAGGGCAGAATTATCCAGGGCAGAATCGCCTTCCTGCTTTGGGACATGTGAACATTAGGAGAAGGTATGAACAAAAAACTTAAACTGGTTGGCATTGCCATCCAGTGTCTTAGTATTGAGTTAAAAAACCGTAAAATACTGCAGCAGTGGAAGGATTTTGCCACAGGGTGGTGCTGTGTGTCCTGTGTAAAACAAGCTGTTACCTGTTGGCCACTTCTGCCTACTGAGCCCATACGCAAGACTGAAATGTCAAACGCCCAACAGCAGTTAGGCATTACTGACGATCAATTACCTTTATTTTAGCTATGCTGAACACAAGTTGAGAACTAAGCCTTTTGCTTTTAAGAATAATTAAGTCCATAAACAGGGCAGAAAAAATGCCGTCATCAAATAGTATTCCTGAATTACCATCTGTCAGTTTTCCCTTCAATTACCACTCAAAATCTGAATATAAAAACCTTCCACAGCTAAGCAGAGAAAGTTAATACCAAAGGTCAAGATTCATCGTGAGCACAGACATGAGACAATTCTGCTGCACAAAATGGTATGCATCTTTTTCGGATTTTGCTCCACAATGAAAAAAGGTAAGGGTTGGCTAAAAATGAGCAGTTTAGCAATGGAAATAAAAATACTAATCTGAAGACATTTACACTGGACAAAAATGCATACAAGACAGCACTAAGTGTCCTTCGCTATAAACACAGAAATACTTATAGGAGTTACTGCTTTTATATTTGATCAATTTTTGATCACAAGTAAAGGTAGATTTATCAGTCTCCCAGTAGGCATTAAAGAAGTTACACGGCTTGATAGCTTGTAATTAGAGCTGCTCAGTTTTGTCTTTCGAAAACTAATTGCGATACAATTTCATATTTAATAAATTTAATCACTAGTATCAATATGGTTATTTTTCCACAAGTAAAACTGCACTGATAAAAGGGCATTTCTTCTAGAAGAACACTACTGCTATCTAAATAAGTAACTTTTAAGTCTTGACCTTCAACTGAATACAAGACAAACATTTTCTCCACCGCTTTCTATGACACGGTAAAGGACGATTCTCTCCTATACTTAATATTTTTCAGAAGCTTACATGTTCCTAAGCATTTTGGATGGTGTCGCTTCCTATATTCCACCAAACAGCCGAACTCAACTATTCAAAGGTTAGTGCCATAGTGCAAACACAACCAGTCTAAAATTAAAATTAAACTCATAAAATGCCAAGGGATCAAAATTTCCAGAATCACACAGCTGATCTCAATTCACACCTGAAGATACTGTTCCAACAGATAAAAATAATTTGTTTGCTCACATGCAGAAGGAAACGTAGCTGATTTTAACAAGTATTCTTCATGTGAAACACCTGAGAACGTGCTTTGTTTAAAATGTGGGTTACAAACACTGCCCAAGGAAGCCAAGAAACCCATCGAGCATTACTTGTTGAAACGCTGCTTAGCTGTGGTCAGCCGCAGTTCGCTATTCCCAGAGCAGAGTATATTTTTGTAATATGGGTAAGCTGCAGTAACCTCAGAATTTCTTCTTTAAAACCCAACCAGCACGCTTGTTTAAGCTTCTGGACTTTTAACACAATCCAAACAGTTTAACAGTTTGACTTGGCAAGTATTTCAAATACGAAATACTATTCTATGAACGCAGTAGCTTTTCCTCTGAAAAAGGTGCCCTTTACATTTTAAGAATAAATTGGTAAACATCTCCAAAACTCTGTGGAACTGGAAAACGAGGAATACAGCCAGAACTAATAGGACAAGAAATCTCAGTTTCTGAGCACTGTGACTGTAACATCTGTCTTAGGAGTGTTGTAACGGTTGCGCGTATTTCTTTTATTTTTCCATCAGAGACTCATTTTGGCTAAAACATTCAGAAGCAGCACAAAACGCTTTCATCTCTAGTAAGTTACTACTCAGAACTTCAGTTACTGTCACAGAACTATACTAAAATGCATTAAGTACTAACTATATTATTATACAGTGCAATAAGCATTTTTCAGAATGTAACGCAATTAGAAGAAATACACATTTCATTTAAGTGTAGTAGTTGTTCTAATCACTCTAGACACATTTCCGCAACATCGCAGACAAGAGAACTTCAGTAGATGGTATCAAGACAATCTGTATCATGTCTTCCGAACAGGAACCTATTGTCCGGAACAGCCAAGCGAAAAACTACAACTCATCTACAAGAGCGTAGTCTGAAACTTGACTATGAAGAAAATTGGTCTCACCTTTTTCTTCAGGCCTCAAAGAAGGGAATTTCTTCTCTCCAGTTGGCAACTCAGGCTTTGGAGCTGAATGGAAAAACAAACCATTTTTGACATTTCTCAGAGAGCTTTAATTATCTTCGTCACTAACTAAAAATATGACATACACCAATTTGTGTTTATATTTTCTCCTTTGCAAGGAATGGAACACCATTTATAAACACTCCTTTGAGTCCGGCAAAGTGTAGGTCTGCATTAAACTGTTTCCAAAGTAGGCTCCATCATAATTTTGAAAAATATATAGCAGCAGCGTAATACATAAAGCAAAAGGTAACCTCAAACTGTGACCACGGGTAGCTGCATTACGAGGAAACACAAAGGTACTTCTGAGTTTTTTCTTGAAGTCACACACTGGGTCTGAAATTTAGTATTTCCCCAGACACATACCACCATACAGACACGACGTACCTGGAGTTTTAACTGGAGGTGGAGGTTTCTTTGGCTTCTGAAAAATGCAATTAAAAAAAAAAGGTCAAATAAACAAACAAACAGATATTCTCTATCAAAGACAGACTTATTTGTGTTCTGTTTTGCATACTGTAATGTCTAGCATGTTTACTAACTGATTTCAAAGTATTTCACAAAGGAGGCAATCAATTCACAGACAGGAAACACAGAGAACTGGAGTAATTCCTCTAATATCTCCCAGACAGCCTGTTTCAAAACCAGGAACAAAATGCAGGATTCTTCACATCTCAGATCAGTGCTTCAGCAACACACATAAGCTATGTTATAGCATTTATGCCATACATCTCAGATCAGTGCTTCAGCAACACGCATAAGCTGCAGAGGTATGAAGAATTAAAAATTAATAATTGCATCTTTTCTAGTCCAAAGAATTGCCCTGATCACACTCATTTTAATTTCAATATGTAAACCTCAGTTTGGGTTAGCATAATGCAAGTTTAAAGAAGTAGTCAGGCAAATTTTTGAACCACAAATGGTCGCTTTCACTGATTAAAAAAAAAAATAAAGCCAAAGGTTCTAAACGTAATCTTGTAAGAACTATTTCAATTAATTGACTTCTAAATTGCAACATAAACACTGCAGTTACATGAAAAACACTATTTTAAGCTTCCTTATCATTGTATATTTAAGTGGGGAAAGGTGCACGAACTACTCTAGCCATTAAAAATTTATGAAGTAGTACGGTGCCAGTTTGTACATTGAAAATAACTCTGTTTTAAAATGCAGTCACTCATCACTTTCCTTAAACTGGTAAATTTGAATTTGAATCTCTCTCCTTTTTCCTGCTGAAGGAGTACTGGCATCTCTCAGGACAGACATCTCAAGCCGCCTCACCCTCAGAATATCATTCATGAAAATGCTCTAGAAGAGACGTCTTTGTGGTTGCACTTAGGACAAGACTCACTGGCAAAACAATCACAAAAGCCTACAAAAAACACTTGTTCTTTATATGCTGCTGAAACCATAGGGGCTTAGTCCAATACAGCCCCATCAAAAATGCCTTGCAGTGGGTATTTTTGAAACAGTTGCTGTGGATGGATTTCAATTCCGTGCCCCTACCGCTATTGAATAAGCTCTTAATGCAGAAAGATTTTATTCTGACAAGTGAAATGTAATTAAGCAAGCATGAAACCCCATATTAAATTTCCTTCTTGAGTTTCAGAGAACACAAAAGCTGGAGACCTTAAGTAACAAGACCGTATTTTCTTTCTTTCCCCCAAAAAAACAAATACAGTATTCAGCTGTGCAGCACTGCTGCCTGTATCAAAAACAATTACACACAGTTCAGCGTCAACTTGTCATTCTATAATTCTGATCTGTGTTTTTATTAAGTTGCTAGCAAATAGCTGATGACAATAATCAGCCATTCAATGCCTCGAACTTCAAGGCTGCTCAGCGCAAGGTGAATCCCTGTACCGAGACACGCTACACTAAGCGGAATAAAGGATCAAAGCAAGTTCTGTCTACAGGAAACATTGTTTATGGGAAAAGAAAGATATTTTCTTCCCCTCTCTCAAGGGAGCAATTCTGTATCGTGAAACAGCGATACTACCCACCCACCCCTCAAATGAAGTCAGCTCTATGTTATAGCATTTATGCCAGCCTTGCAAAGCTGAGAATAAATTTGAA